CATCCCCAGCATCCCCAGCATCCCCAGCATCCCCAGCATCCCCAGCATCCCCAGCATCCCCAGCATCCCCAGCATCCCCAGCAATCATCACAGGGACAATGCCTCGATACAGACGCAAAACACCTGAATTCAAGCGCGACCTGGTCGATCTGGAAAATTATGCCACCAAGTCGATAGTCATTGTAGGTTGCGCTAGATCCTTGGATCGGAAGAGCTGGCTCCGATTGCTAACAACTGTGGTAGGAATGCAAAATTGATGCGTGTGTTGACAAGTTTCTCGTGCGCCTTCGGGATCTCGGTCTGGTGGAAAATGATTATGATTTCCGACTTCCCTCGACCGAAGGAGAAACCGGGGAGAAGCTGCAAGACCTCGCCTCCGAATTACGCAGCGACCTGGACCGCCTCGTGCCGGGCTATCTGGACGCCGACACCAGCCTCGATATCCTGGAGGTTAAGAAGGTCAATGACAGGTTCAGGGCGCGATGGCGGTTCATCAGAAAACGGAGCCGCAACCCGCAGCCAATACCTGACACCGACAACCCTGACAGCTTTTTGGACAGACTCCTCACGACATTGCTGGCTGTGCAGGATCAACAGCGTCTCTCCACTGCCAATGATCCCAGCGGAGGAGCTCGGGCCCTAACGAGGGGTGCCTTCACCGAGGCGTGTCAGCAGTTGAGAGAGGCGATCGAAAGTGAAACCTCGGCGGCCTCCTTTGCCTGTGGAGGCACCATCCCCATCGCGAAGGATGCCACAGACTCTGCAGAGTCCGCGTCCGAACCGACCTCTCCCGCGGTGCGGGTCTGGATAGCTGGCGACGACTCGAGCGCACGCAGACTGACGCTACCAGTGGCAGGGGACGCTGCTGACTCTTGCACTAACACCCTGCAGGACCTGGTGGCCGCCTGTCAGCCGGCGAGCTTTGGCCGGGGTGGAGAGGATGTCTTCGACCCCGAGTACCGCCGAGCGGGGAAGCTGGAACCCAAGGACTTTTTGACGAGCTTCCATCCTGCCGATTACGGGATCATCGAGCTGATAGAGCAGATCCTTCTTCCAGGCGTCAGCAGCGATACCGACAACCGGTTGCAGTTCCGCAAGGTGAAAGCCGAATTGTACAAGTTGAATGTTGGTGAACCCCCTTCGGTGCTTTCTTTAGGCTGCCCCCGGTACTGATCTACTTCACCAGGTGTATTCGGGACCATCAGGTCATTTCCGCAAGCATGTCGATACGCCTCGCTCGGAGCACCAGATTGGATCGCTCGTCGTATGCCTTCCATCCGAGTTCGAAGGAGGCAACTTGCTCGTGCGGCACCACGGACAGGAGACAAACTTTGATTGGAGTCGCCAGAGCGGCTCGAGCATCCAATGGGCGGCCTTCTACTCGGACTGCGAGCATGAGATTGAAACCATCAAAGCCGGAAACCGCATCACCCTGACATATAACCTGTATGTGAGAGAGGTGACCAACGGCGCAACGGACACCATCTCCCCCATTCTCGAGCCACAGGCCTTTCCACTGTATGGCTTAATCGAGAGCCTGCTCGCTACCCCAGGCTTCATGAAAGAAGGTGATTGCAGTCATGCTCGCGTTCGGACCCTGCTAACGGATCTAGGCGGTGTGCTCGGAGTCTTCTGCTCGCATGCCTATCCCCACGCCTCGGATCTGGCGGAGCTCCAGCTCCCTCGGGCCTTGAAAGGGGCCGATCTGGTCGTGTACGCCGTCCTCAAGGCCTTGGGGGTCGAGGTCCGCATTCTTCCCATTCTCGAATTTGGGGGAAACTACGGCTCGCGCAATCCCCAGTTGGGCATCACTGGTCGGATCGAAGCCTCCCGCCGGTGGTACATGTCATCGGAGTACATGCACTCGGATCTGTGGAGTGAGTTCTTACAGGAGGGGAATGAGCCTGAGCTCGGCTACTGGGACGGCCACGAACCCAACTATGGGCACATCGAGGACATCGATCAGCACTGGAAGGAGATCCTGCTGACCCGCGAGGTACGGGAGTTGCGTAGTGTCTTCCGGGACGGGGAGGAGTACAACCTCGCCAAGAAGCCGGATAGCTTTTACGAGGCCGGCGGGGTCCGTCTGGGCCCGGACCTGCACCGGTATTTCACCACCGGGCGGGGGGAAGCAGAGGGACTTGATGAAGTAGGTATCCACATCCCCGAATGGAAACCGCTAGGGCCGGGAATGCTAATGATCCCTAGGTTTCCGAAGATGTCTGGCCGGCATACTATCTCCCTGGGATCACCTGGATCACGGAGCCCAAGCACGAGGAGATGGCTTTTTCGCAGATCGCGTATGGAAATCAGGCTGAGGTTGGCTCTCGCTACTCGTGCGCTGCCATTCTGGCTGTGATTCCGCCGTTCAGCTCTCGGGGCAACCTTCCTCGTAAGGTTTAAGTACGGGTGGATTCTTTCTTTCTAACGACTACATGTGATTCCTCCATCCGGGCCAAAATGTCATGATGCCCGTTAGCTATTCTCTTACATGATTCTGCCGTGCTATTTGATTTCAATTCTTCAGATTGATTGATCTTCAGTGCCGTGGTCGACATATCACGATTTATCATAAACCCAAGATTATTTCGGTTCTTGTAGAAGATCAACCATATCTCGCGACTTGCTAGCAGACCGAAGGCGTAGCCGACCGACCCTATCGAATCCTAGGAACTCGATATCATTTGACTAGTAGTCTAAGCTCATGGGGACTCGAAATCATCCATATTTTTGTCAGGGATTCATCTGACAGCAGAAGGTATGGAATCGTGGGGCTTCACTCGTTGATGCGTGGATTATGCTGGCTGGATTGCCTTTATGAGGCGGGAATGCGGGAATGGTACCAGTACTGTGATTGAATGCCTTCATCAGGGACCACAATCAAAACCATTGTGAATGGTGAATGAAGTCTGTTGTGACCGAGACTCCGTGACGTGGTGGTCGCGCTTATCATATAGATTTCAAATTTTCTATCCTACATGCCCTCTGCGGGAAATGCCTACATTCCAACATGTCCATCTCACCACTGGTTTATTTGCCGCCCGTCAAAAAATTTAACCCTACCCGCCGGATTTAATTATCGCCATCAAGGAACAAAAGTCAAATCCCAATCTTCCAAAGTTCCAACCCGCCACGATGGACCGCACAGACCCACCGGCGGCTATGTCTGGTACAACAATGGCTGTTCCTGAATTTTGAGTCTCCGTAACCGCCACTCAGACGATCAAATTCCTCCATCGAGTAGGGATCGACAGTACCCCCCCCCCTCCCCTGAAGATCGTTTACCCGTCTCGGAGGATGTCCTTGTTTCAGGTGCTGGCGAGGGGTTCCATCTGCCCGGTGGGTTAGCGCTGGGGTGGAGAGCAGGCAGCCTTATAAGGGCATGCCTGGCTGGTCTGGTCTGCTTTGGCTGGTAAATAACTAGGTGTCTGGTACATCAATTTTATTACAATGGTCGCGTTATCAGTCTTTCTTTTTCTCGAGGCGGTTTCTCTCGCTACGGCCGCTCCGACACAAGTGTCCAATGATTCGAGTCCGTGGTTTCTGGCGAATGCCAAAGCCGGCGTCAGTACGTTGCAGCAGTGGTATAACCAGACCACGGGGCTCTGGGATACCACCGGGTGGTGGAACAGTGCGAATTGTCTGACGGTGCTGGGCGACCTGACGGCGCAGGATTCGTCGATGGTCAATGCCAGCGCGGCCATCTTCAATAATACCTTCTTGCGCGCCCCGGCGTCGACTCTAGGCCAAGCAGTGTGGAAGACCAACTCCAGCAAACCGGCCACGACTCTGATCGAGACGAAAGGGTTCATCAACGAGTACTACGACGACGAGGCGTGGTGGGCGCTGGGCTGGATCCAGGCGTACGATCTGACGCATGATGAACGATTTCTCGATACGGCGGCGGATATCTTTGATGATATGACGAGTGGATGGAATGCGACGTGTGGGGGAGTGTGGTGGGATAAGAGTCATACGCAGAATGGGGCGATTGAGAATGAGTTGTTCCTGAGTGTGGCGGCTCATCTGGGACGACGGATTCCGAGCAAGATGGCGTATTATCGCGATTGGGCGATGAAGGAATGGACGTGGTTTTGGAACAGCGGGTTGATTAATGGGGGGTATACGATCAATAATGGGTTGGATTTGACGACGTGTCAGAATGATAATGGCACCGTGTGGAGCTATAACCAGGGGGTGATTCTGGGGGGACTGGTGGAGCTGTCGAAGCTGGTCAATGATACGTCCTATGTCGCCACGGCGCAGAAGATTGCGGATGCGGCGATCGAAGCCTTGAGTGATTCGAATGGGGTGTTGACCGAGTCGTGCGAGCCGGACTGCACGGGGGATGCGCCCCAGTTCAAGGGCGTGTTTATGCGGAATCTCCAGGCCTTGTATCAGGCCCGTCCGGAAGATCGGATCAAGCAGTTTCTGGAAACGAATGCCAACAGCATCTGGCAGAATGATCGGGGGGATGACTCGGAATTGGGGTCAGTCTGGTCGGGACCGTTTAGCAGTGCGGATGCTACGACGCAGAGTTCGGCTTGTGATGCGTTGGTGGCGGCGGCGGCGGTTGCTTGAGGCCATGATTTGTGATATCTGGTTCACATGGTGGAGATTCTATAGATACCTATTGCTGGCATTAGAGAGTGAATATGATATCCATGTTGATTAATCTGACCACTCACGTTCCGTCCCAGGGAAAAGTCAGGAAGCTTCCATGTGGCAGGGGGATACCTCCGGAATTGCCTGTCAATTGTCTTGGGGAACCTGCCGCGGGGTGCCAATGGGAGATAGTGAATGTCACCCCTCCTTGATTCCTTTCTATTCTTCTCCCCCACAATCGTTCTCTGCTGGATTGTCGTCGCCGCGTTACCTCTATTCCCCTCACCCTCTCCTCCCTACCCCTAAATACCCTGCGTCTATACCTACACGATGCAACCCCCTGCGACAATCCTCGAAAAACCAGACGTGGAGATGCCCGTCCATGTGCTCGATGCAGAAGGCGAGGTGATGATCACCTTGACCAAACCCAACGAGCCGTTTGCCCCCTATGACCATGACCCCACCGATTCGGATTCTGAGGCGGATCCCCACATTGAGAGGCTCCGTCGGGGGATCGCCATGATCGTAGACGTCGGACTGGTGCCGGACACCTATCTCACCCCGGATCTCCGCACCGTCACGGTTCCTCCCGAACCAGATCGGCAAGAGGCCGATGGGACGATCGATGGTGTTTGGGTCCCCGCTTGGGTCGACGAACCCCGGAAACGAAGGAGCGGGAAGAAGGTTCAGACGGAGGACCAGAGCGACCGGAACGGGAATCCCTCCGAGGCAGCGGTCATTCAATACCAAGCCTCAGCCAAGCATCTAGCCTCGGCCTCGCCCTTCTTCAAGGCGTTACTCCTGAGTGGCCTCCGGGAAAGCGTCAAGTTCAAGACCGAAGGCTCCGTCACCGTGTCTACCGAGGGCTGGGACGCGAACGCGCTCTTGTACGTGCTGAAAATCTTGCATTGCAAGCACCATGAACTCCCCCGCCAGGTCGATCTCACCATGCTGGCCAAGGTGTGTGTGGTCGGGGACTTTTACGGCTGCCAGGATGCGGTGCGCTTTGCGACGCAGTGCTGGATTGGCCAGTTGGAGCCCGGGGTGCCCAACACCAAATATCGCCCGCTGGTGCTCTGGATCTGGCTCAGTTACTTCTTCCGGATGGCGGCGCAATTCAAAGAAGTCACCTCCATTGCCATCACCCAGGGCAAAGGCTTGATTGAGACCCTGGGTCTCCCGATCCCAGCCACGATCATGGGTATGTCCCCCCCCCCACCTTCAATTGCCCAGGGAATCACTGACAAGTGGTAGACGCCATCAACGACCGCCGCCAGGAAGCCATCACCGAGCTGATCGACCATGTCTACGAGGAACGGGACCGATATCTGAGCGGGGAGATGGGATGTTCCTTTGAGTGTAGCGCGATGATGTACGGCGGGATCGCGAAGAACCTGGTCGAGCACAAGATGACTCCGGCCGACCTGGAGGCCCCGTTCCACAATCACAGCTACATGTCGTTGGTGCGGATCATCGAACGGTTCCGCACCCCGCGGTGGTTCGATGTGGGTGCCTCGCTGAGCAATTACGGCTACCAGTATGTGAACCACCAGTGCCGGGATTCGACCTTGTCTTCCTTGCGAGATGGCTGGAACGGCTATGTGGATGGGCTGGACCTGAAACAATTCGTCGAGTTGCGTTGAGCGGTCGGAATTGCAATATGCGAGATATTTTGTTTTTGATGCTGTTTCGAATTTTCTGCTATTACTTTTTCAGACAGCCGTGTTGATAGATTTAATGGAATCAGAATCGCGCTTCATAGACACTCGTGCTCGAGAACCTCAGTGTGTAGCCTCAGGCAGCTACAGGTCATGTGTAGGCTAGTCCGAGAGGGGCCTAGTGGCTCAGCTGAAGATTGCCCAACTGGGAAGGCCTGCCCTGGCCAATCAAAGCACTCCATTTGAAAAGGTGCGCCGTCTGCCCCGAGGTCGCCTCCCACCCACTTTCACGTCGCAACCAAGCTGTCGTGGTGGATCATCAGGAAATGCCCAGAGCACGAGGTAAATGCCGAGCGGTCAGTCAAAGTGCTTAGGCTGATCATTCGTCAACAGCAGTATCGTGGATCGCTCTCGATGCAGAGAAATGCAGTTCCAACATTTCGGCTCTCGGAGGGGTGTCTGGCGAATAATGGATCTGACCGACCTTTCTTTTCTTGTCAGAGGGATCGATCCACTGCGCATGCTCAAATCATGGACATCCATTTTACAAGCAACGGTTAACACGCTGCGGATGCGCGGTCGATGGAGTTGCATCTCGACATCCGCGATCATCATTGGCTGTCTTTCGATGGCAAACGGATTGACCATTCAGGCCAGATCCGAGTGGATCCGATCGGGGATGGAGATAAGCCCGCGGACTGCAGAAAAATGGGCGCAAAGAAAATCAGGAAAATGGCGCAGGCCTCCGTCGACCCTAAGCACCACCCACCATGACCACCGCACCATCGACCGTTGAAACCCGGCTCTTAGCCACCGCAGAACATCTCGCTGGGAGTCACCACAGTAATCCACCAGCCCCGTGGGTACACCCACATTTAGAGCAGGATGTTGTGCCCGTCAAGGGCCGTCAGCTGCGGGCCTCGCGCCCGATTCGCAAGGGTGAGCTCTTGCTGGTGGATGTTCCTTATGCCCTGATTCCGGTGGTCGATGATCCCGCCAGTAGCGATGCCCTGTTGTGCAGCAACCCGGGTTGCAGTCGACCGACGCAATGCGGTGCGCGGATATCGTGTCCGAAGAATTGTATCGCAGATGTAGTCTGGTGCACGCCGGCATGCCAGGGCGCGGATCAAGCGCGCCACGGGTTTGAGTGCACCTGGTTGCAGAGATATGCCGCCCCGGTGCGCGCGAAATGGGGCGAGTACGACTTTGGGATGCTGTGGCTGATTGTGCGCATTCTGGCCGCACGGCAGAGGGAGCTTCAACGGGACCAGCTCGACGATGATACGACTCCGCGCTTCCAGGGTGGCTGGGACGCCATCCAGTCATTTTGCGGCTCGACGGAGAGCTGGTCGCATGCCCAGGTCCGATCATGGACCGCGTTGGTCAAGAAGTATCTTCGCAGTGGCCCGGCACTTCCTCACGATCTGACACCGGATGAGATTGTGGCGCTCATCTGCCGGGAGGAGGCCAACTCATTTGGCTTATATCCTCGAGAGACCGGTGTGTTCCCCGTGCCAGAGCCGCCGGTGGATCGAGGTGACCAGTACGGCGCGGCCGTGTATCCTCGAGCCGCCATTGCGAATCATTCGTGTTCTCCAAACGTGAGTATGAAGTCAACTCTGGTATCCAGTTACTGACGGGTCCAGATTATGCACAAGCCTGACCATCAAGGCCGAATGGTCTTCACGGCCTCGAGGGATATCGCAGCTGGAGAGGAGTGCTGCATATCGTACTTTGATTTGTCGAAAAGGGTTGAGTTGAAGGAACGACGAGACCACCTGCAGGGTTTGTTTCGCTTCATCTGTGGCTGTGATCGATGTACGGCTGAGGAGCCGTCGGTTGAAGAGTCGGACTGGGTTGGGCTGCCTTTTGTGGAGTGAGCAGTGTGCTGAACAATACCAGCATACTTCGTTCTTGGATGGTTGGAGCATTATTTTGGTTCTCTTTTTGACGTGGAAGACGACACATAGATCGCCAGGCTGGTCCTGGTTGGTATATAACCGAGAAAGACATCAGTTTCCGTCTTAGAAAATATTCCAGAATTCATCATTCAACCTCTCGAGACAGAAACTGCGTTAAATCACCATTGCCTCCTAGCTCGTATCTGACGTATCACCAAAGCAGGTTTGGCGACTCCGATAATCGGGCTATCGTGGAATGCCTCTCATAGGCCGAACCCCGCCTGACGCGCCTGCAGGACGTCGCTCCCAATGCCACCATGTGGGGTACACAAGAGCAGCAGCAATTCAAATAAAAGACGGGATGTGTCCGGTCGGAGAAATGCAGCTGTCAACCATGACGACCAAGTTACACAGCACGGGCCTGACCGAGGTCAGCGACCATGAATCCCAAGGTACCGGTACCCCGGTGATTGCGTCGGGATCGCAGCATCTGCACCGGAAGCTGCGCGGGAAAGAAGTCCAACTATTTGCGGTCGGAGGGGCCATAGGCACCTGTAGGTCGGCATGCCGGGAGGATTCGTCGACTGACGGACGGGTTTAGCACTGTTTGTTCAGATGGGGTCTGTGTTGCCCAAGGGCGGGCCGGCGGGGCTGTTTCTGGGGTTTGTTGCGTACGGGACGATTATCTTGGCTGTGAATCAGTGTTTTGGTGGGATGACTCTTCTTTGAGCTATGCATTGGTTGACGGTTTTAGCGGAAATGGTGTGCTATTTGCCTATCCCGTCGCCGTTTGTTCGGCTGGCTGGTCATTGGGTTGATGATGCTCTGGGTTTTGCGATGGGGTGGAATTTCTTCTTTACTATGGGTATGTTGTCTGTCAGTGTCATACCGGTTACTTATATGGAAGTAGCTCTTGGGATACCCTACGAGATTGTCGCGCTCAATGTCCTGCTCACCTACTGGACGGATCGCGTGCCTGTTGCTGCCGTGGTCGTGATTGTGATGGTTCTTTATGCGTACATCTATTGCTCCAAGTGACTATATGTATAGTTGCTGACGAGAACAGGATCTTGAATATTCTTACTGTTCGCTACTTTGGCGTGGCCGAGTTCTATCTCTCGTTCTTCAAGATCTTCCTGATGCTCGGCCTGATTCTATATACCTTCATTACCATGGTCGGAGGGAATCCAGACCACGATGCATACGGCTTTCGATATTGGAATGATCCGGTAAGTACACCTCTGATACACACACCCACCTGACAAGGAACAGGGAGCATTCGTATCATACCTCGTTCCCGGCAGCGTCGGTCGCTTCTGCGGCGTTCTCGCCTGCATGGTGCAAGCATCCTTCACGTAGGCTGCACAACCCCCCTCCCCATATGCATCCACTGATGAGTATCAGAATGGTCGGCCCTGAATACATCTCGATGGCAGCCGGAGAAGCCGAGCGACCGCGTCGCGTCATGCGCAAAGCCTACTCGTCGTTCGTCTGGCGCCTCATGCTCTTCTTCATTCTGGGGGCGCTCTGCATCGGCATCGTAATCCCCTACAACGACCCCATCCTGGCTGCCACCCTGGCAGGGACCCGAAAAGGCAGCGGGACTGGCGCAGCGTATCCCCCCTCCATTTTTCTCGCCTATTAAACCACAACCCCACCACTAACACATGATAGCTCCCCCTACGTAATCTCCATGAACCACTTCAACATCCCCATCCTCCCCTCCCTCGTCAACGCCCTCATCATGACCTCCGTCTTTTCGGCCGGGAACAACCTGGTCTTCTCCGCGGCCCGCACCCTCCACGGCATGGCCCTCACGGGCAAAGCCCCCTCCCTCTTCAGCCATTGCAACCGACACGGCCTGCCTTACCCCGCCATCCTGGCCTCTCTCTCCTTCTGCGCCCTCGCCTTCCTCCAAGTCAACACCACCTCCGCGACCGTCCTCACCTGGCTCGTGGGGGTCATCACTGCCTCGTATTTACTAAACTACCTCGGCACATGCATCACGTACCTGCACTTCTTCTCCGCTCTCCACCAACAGAATGTCTCCCGCGATACCCTACCATATAAAGGATCCTTCCAGCCCTGGGCAGCCTGGTATGCCGTGTTCGGAACAGGAATCATGACGTTGATATTGGGATTTGAGGTGTTTCTGCATGGGGAGTGGGATACTACGACGTTCTTTTTGGATTATACGATGGTGGGGTTTTTTGTGCTGGCGGGGGTGGGGTGGAAGGTAGTTAGGGGGACGAGGTGGGTGAGGCCCCGGGAGG